TATTGAAACAAGGCATTCAGTGATTTGCCCTAGAGAACGATCACAGTCTTCCAGAAGCTGCACAGACCTAGGCATGCACATGTGACGTGGACACAGCACTGTGAGGCAGAACCATAAAAATAAAAGGGCAGCTAACTCTAGTTGGCTGAGGTGAAAGGGTATACCAGGATTAGGTGGGTTTCACAGAAGAAATAGTTAAAAAAAAAAAAAACAATGATAAAATAAAATCCCCCAAAGACTATTTTCTGGACCATTTTTGATGCCAAAATGTCTACCCTTACCCTTTATGGGTACTGTACTTTCAAGCACAAATATACTTGGGAAAGGCGGCATTGTAGTGCATATTACTGGAAGTGAGTTTATAGGTTCTCCACAATATATTAGGGAATGAATCATTCCATTATATCTATTACATAAGTGAAAACAGAAAAAGGAATAAGGCTAAGAACTCAGTAATCTTTCCTCCATGCACCCAAATAAGACTGTGATTTCAAGAGTGACATTGCTGGAGTCAGTGGTCCTAAGGACAAAGCTGCCTTCCTTGCTTGCTGTTTGCTGATGGCCCAGGGAAGGCATGGCTTCTACCTGAGTCTTAGTTCCTTTGGCTGTAAAATGAGGGTAGTCAATAGAACCTACCTGACAGGACTAATCACTAAAGAAAGAGCGTGTATAAAATACTTGATGGTTGGCCTATAATAAGCACTGAACAAATGCTGCAGAAATCATCATCATGGGAGAGTGAAAGGAACAGGCTATGATGGTGATGCCAGCAACAGTGACGTCAGTGATATGAGCTGTTATCCTCACTGTTACATACCAACCAGGGGACGATGCTCGGTTTATTCTCATCTGTACACTTGTCCATGTCTCCTAAAGTTACTGTGGGAACTTAGGAGCATGTGCCTGGCACAGAAAAAGTATGCAAGAGAGGTTGATCTGCCCCAAAGCCCTGCAGAGACATGCACTTTGCTCTGAAAGGGCCAAAGAGCAGCAGTTTAGGGAAAAGACCAATTCAACATTAATAAATTGGTTGGATGAGCTTTACCCAGGAACTACAATAACCTAGGGGTTGGTGAGGTGAGCCCCACCCCAGCTGGGAAGAGAATCAAAGTTGTTGAGCTTGGTTGATATTGGGTGGCCTGGTGATTATATCCATCTTTCCACAGTCACAGACACTTCCCCTGGAGGAACCACAGCTTGTCCTTACAGGCAAAAAGGGCCACAAGGTCATGTTTAGAGGAAATGGTTTGAGGGGCTTAAGGGCTAACTCAGTGGTTAAAAGAGCATGTTCTGCTCTTTCGAAGGACCCAAGTTTTGTTGCCACAGCAGAAGGCTCACAACTGACCACCCAAAGGGATACAACATCCTCTTCTAGCCTCTTAGGATACCTGCACTCACATGTCCATACCACAGACACATACTTTTAAATAATAATAATAATAAATATCTGAAAAAGCAGTTTTCCTATGTCCATTGCAGTTCATCTTGGAAAGTGCAGGATTCAACCAAGGAAACAGGTAGCTAGAGAGAGCAAGGTCAGCCCTCCTAAAGGAGAAGAAGAGAGAGGACCCATGGACAGTGCCCAGAAAGAAGGAAGAGAGAAAGGATACAGCAGAAGGTTCACCTTGAGCAAGCACGGGGGCACGAGGCTCAAACTTCACCATGGCCGTGACTGGAGCCCCAAAGGGTGCGATTCGATAGGCAGCAAGGATCTCAGAGTGGCTGCAGGATTACTAGCTCTCAGACCCCGCTGCCTCTCCTCTCTCCCCTCCACAAGCTGAGGGGTTGCGGGTCAGCGCCAAAGCACACAGCCTGATCAGGAGCGCAAAAGCAGCTGACAAATGACAGCGTGACTTGTCATCATCTCAGGACTCACGGTTTGTCCCTGAAAGAATCGATACCTGGAGGGACGAGAGTCATATTTTCAGAGACTCCTGTCTGGGTAATTTATTTCAAGTAAGAAGAGAGTTTACTTATGTTGGCACCCCCGTGGGTGCAGTGGACAGTATATTTACACAAAGATAGAAAACACTATCGTTTCTTCAAAATCAGATTGCCCCCTGGAACAACTGTAGCTGACAACTCTGAGTGATAAGTTTACTCACTCACTCATATGCTCCCAGCTCTACCCAGGGGCCATTCCCACCACTGCCTTCAGCCCTGCTGACTTCTGTCTGCGCAGAGGGACACACGTTGCAAAATTCTCCCACACAGATTCCATCTCCTAAGGCACCAGCGAGCTATCGAGGCAGGGTTGGTGACACTAGCTCCATTTGACAGGGGAAGAAACCAAGGCTCCAGAGTTCAGCACAGGATTATTGGGGGGGGGGGGGACGACCAGAGTTGGAAAGCAACATCTGTCTCCTCATGCCTAGGTATGTTTTAGCTGTGTCATAGCTGAAACAACTTCAAGAAAGGAGAGTTTTTCATCAAAGCAACACAAATGAAAATGATATAAATATTGAATGAGAAGGAATAGGGTGGATCTTTGCAACTGGCCTTTTCAGGGGTTCCTAAAACAATATTTAAACTGACATTCAAAAATGTTCAAGACAGGCTGGGAAAGAGGGTTCAGTAAGTAGCATGCTTGCTACAAGGATGTAAGGACCTGGCTTTGGCTTCCAGCACCTATGTGAAAAGTAGGGTATAGAAGTGTCTGCCTGTAATCTCAGTGTGAGGGACAGTAAGATAGGAAGAGATGTAGTGCCTGCTGATCAGCTAGTCTAGTTTAATCAGTGATTCAGTAAGAAACCTTGTCTCAAAATACTATAAATAAGGTGTAGAGCATTGAGGAAGGCATAATATATTGACCTCTGACCTACACATACACACACATACATGTACATACACTGTTTGAAGAAATATTCCAGATATGTGACCACTAACTCATTTTTGAAATGCAAGAATGTATGCAAAAATGCATACATGTATATGTTTATGGCTATTTCTAAACCCTGGAAATAGATGCATAAGCATGTTGGCTATTGGCCGTGGCTGTCTCTAGTTAGTGTGCTTATCACCCTTTTTTTTTTTTTTTGCTGCTGTTAGTATTGTTTAAAGACAGTGTCTTGCAGTGTAGCCAGCTTGGCATTGAACTTGTGACTCTGCTGCCTCAGCACACTGAGTGCTGGAATTACCATCTTTATCATGAAAAGCCCACCTTTTCCCTCTCGCATTTCTGTATTAGTATGGTGGCCACTAGCCACATGTACCTACTCAAGTTTAGTTTAAATTCAATTAAATTTGAAAAATAATCCCTGGGTCAAACCAGCGTACTTCAAATGCTCAGTGGCCACACCTCACTGATGGCTTCCATATCAGATGATGCAGACTTGGATTATCCATTGTTGGGCAGCTCTGGACTACACACAAACCACACACTATCAGAGAAGCATAGTCAGTACAGCCACATTCCTTTTTCATATTTTTTTATTCTTTGACAGTTTCATACACTTATACCATGAATATTGATCATATCCACTCATGACAATTCCCTTCACCTCCTCCCTAGTGCCCTCCACCCAATCAATCCCCCTCCCAACTTCATATCTTTATTTACTATTATTAATAACCCCCTGAATCCAATTAGTGCTGCATGTAAGTGCATGGCCTGCTCCATGGGAGGGATTTTATGCCTGGTACAGTAAACCTGGTCCAAAGCCTATGACTATGGTGATCATTGGTCCTAGATAGGAACCTACAGTTATTTTTGCTGAATGTTCATGCTATCAAGCTGCATTCTATGACATGGCCTTGCACAGCTTGGGTCCCAGGACACAGACTAGGGATAATAAGGAAATGAAAAAATGGCAGAGACATATACAATAAAGTTGGGATCGAGTTATCTGGGCTCTCACATAGGGAAGGCGCAGCACCCAGGAAGCTCAGTGTGTTTATTATATTCAACTAAACAAGGTAGTATATACAATTAACTGCATGCAGTTGAACATAGAGACAGGGTTATTACATATAAACAAGGAGGCAGGGTTAGCTAATATAGGTAGGAGGAGTCTCTGTAGGGGACTAGTCTTAAAGCCATAAACATGGAAAGAATACCTATGTGGAGATTTTCTTTTTTTTTTCTTTTTTTAAATTTTATTTTATAATTGGATTTAATTTCACATATCAGCCACGGATTCCCCTGTCCTCCCTCCTCTGCCCACCCCCACCCTCCCCTCAGCCCTCCCCCCATCCCCATCTCCTCCAGGGCAAGGACTCCCCTGGGAATTCAGCTCAACCTGGTAGATTCAGTCCAGGCAGGTCCAGTCCCCTCCTCCCAGGCTGAGCAAAGTGTCCCTGCATAGGCCCCAGGTTCCAAACAGCCAGCTCATGCACTAAGAACAGGTCCCGGTCCCACTGCCCGGGTGCCTCCCAAACAGTCATACACTATCAACATTCACACTCACACCAGAGGAAGGTTTTGCTACTTCTCTGTGTCTGAGGCATTGATCATTGATATGGCTGTGCCCATATAAACAATATAGATTCACTCAGAACTTCATTTTCTCCCTATAATTCTAAATATATATGTTTATATTCATAGATTTGTGTGCTTTCAGCTTTGGTTAGGGAAGCTTCTTTTTGCAGTGGGTAATGGTTAATGAGGATACTTGTAACTGGTCAAAATAGCAAATATAGGTACTGTGTATGTAGCTATGGGTGGGTCATCTATACCAGCCTCCCACCATCCAATGCTCAGGGAACTTCATGGAAGAGGGAGGCAGCAAGAATTTGTGAGCCTGTGCGTGGGAGGAGAGCTGTGAAATGCTGATGTCTGCTATATCCACCTTCCTTCAATCTACTCCCAACTCTGTGTTCCTATTGACTTTCTTCTCCTTAATGAAGACTTAACTTTAACCTAGCATGCTGCCAGGATCACAGTGTGGCAAAGCACGGTGGCCTCATTTGTAATGCCCATAGCAGCAATTAGCTCTCCCCACGATCCTATGAAGACTAAATCCCTTTGATGCAACCACCTCACAGTGTTCTCTCTTTTGCAGGAGGTGCAGTTCCAACCCGAGTACTTCCACAGTACCATCATATGTGAGAGGCCCAACAACCACCTCAGCAAGTTTAAGGGTTATATGTAAGTACTTAAGACCCCTGGGCTACTGGTGAACACCTGCTCTGCTGCTGGAAAAATATATTTACTTGAAATGACCAGACAGTTGAGTCCATATCCTGGGGTTAAGATTGTCGAGTTTTAAAGACCTGGGCTTGAGGCATAGGTCTCCCAACAATAAGCTGGATTGGTTTGCTTACCTGTCAGTTTCTCAGGTGCCATCTCTGCAGAGTAAAATTTATAATACCTGTGTCACAGGACTTCTCTTCCCTAAAAATCAAAGTGTCTATCACATGCAGAACTCGGATTAGCAAAACTGGACAAAATTAAATGCCCAGTTCATCACAGATGTCTATGTCTGAATTATCACTATTCTTCCACCTCAGAATTTTACTATAATTCTGGCCCCCATCAGACAGCTGACCTACTTGCAAAGTAAGAGTCACAAGCATGGGTATAAGTAAATGTCTAGCCTTGTCATTGCTATAGCAGTGCTCAGAGCACTTTTGCAGAATACCATCTGTGTGGTCTTTACAGCCACCCAAGGAAATGGGGACCGTTGTCTCCATGTTTCAGATGTGGAATCTTGTGCTCTAGATGTCTGGATTTGCCCTAAGTTTCACAGCAGGTACCAAACAACCCAAACCTGATGTGGTTTTGATTGCCCTGCTTCACAGAGTTCAACTGTGTTGGGCCCACCTCTCACCAAAAGGGTTCCAGGCCACTGAGCTGTTTCTTTCCCAGACAGGCTCTCAGCCCATATATGCTGTCATGAGGAGGAATACAAGAAGAGAAAAAGAAGAATACAGAAGATGCCAACAGAAGCCTTGAAACTTTACTTTTCAAATACACAGGAAGGGCTGATGGAGATAGGTAGAGAAGGACGTGAGCTGGGGAAGTGTTCTTTGTGTGCATCTGTCAAAGAAGAAGCTGTTCATTGTCTCTGGCAAGCATAGTCGTGTTCATTCCTGAGTTGATGGATTTGGTTCCTCCAAGTCACCTGTGTCTTGAACCGTTCTATAATTTCCTAGCAATCAGCTTGATGGCCTGCTTTTCCCCATGGCTCTTTCTCCATCAAACTCATGTTTGCTAGCAGCTAGTCTGTCTCACGGTCAACCTGGGCTCAGGCCTGCCTACCTCACACAGACTTCAGACAGCACTGGCCCCAGCTCTCCTTATCTTAATACCCCTTATTTCTGGCCATTGCTCCTAGAGACCTGCTTTTCTCCACCTCCCAGCCTCAAGGATAAGCCTTGGAAGTCCAACTGGACAGCCCATGGTCAACCCAAAGATCCTAGAAGATTCTACCATCTGGACCTATATCCCCATCTATGTCAGACAAGGAAAAGACTTTTAGACCCAGCACCCACAAACCAAATGTCTAAAAATCCTGTTTCCTCGAAGCCTCCATTGGGTCTCCTTAACTGAGGAATCCTCTGTGACTACACAGATTAGCAAGATGAACAGCTTTTTATTATCTACTTGAAGATAATGAGCTTGATATTTTAAAATGCAACCATTTGGGCTGGTGGGGTAGTTTAATTAGTAGAGTCTGCCTAACATATACATGCTCTTGAGTTCATCCCCATAACCATATAAACCGGGGATAGGAAACATACATATGTAACTCTAGCACTTAGAAGATGGAGGCAAGAAGGATCAGAAATGCAAGGTCATACTCAGCTACATAGCAAATCTGAGGCCAGCCTTGGCTACATGAGACCTTGTCTCAATAAATGATTGATTAATTAAACAAATAAATCTCTGTAGGACCTCAGTTCTCACTCTGAGATGATATCCTTCTCCTTAATTGGGAGTCTTTTGGCAATGTCTGGAAGCAGTATTGGTTGAAACAGCTGGGAAACTGTGCCACTGGCCTTTTGTAGACAGAGTCCAGGGTACCACCCAACATCCTACAATGGACAAGAAAACCCCACTATAAAGAACTGTCCTGCGGAGACATAAATGTTGCATGTTAACCACAAACATCTTTGTTCACAAAGAGCACTCAGTGGAACAGCAGTCATGAGACAGCTAAGCCTTTTTTCCCACCTATCCAAAAACGGGCACTGTGAGTGAGAGAAGAAGCTGGCTCTCCCCTGTGCTATTACTTCAGACTGTCATAAATGACAAGTCATCAGCAGTCTCTCACCTGTGACCCAGAATCCTAAGATAGCCAGTATACTAAGTTGGTGTCCTTGGAAAAAAATCTCAGCCTCTGTAAGCTTTAGCTTTTATACAATGACTCTGCTAACCTTCCAGAGCCATACAGAATCAAATGTAATCATGTAAGTGAACATAGTTTATATGCAGAATAAGGAATTGTTAGCATTTAAATGGATACTGAAGTTGGCATGGTAACACATGCCTGTAATCTCACTATTTGTGAAGTTGAGGAGGAATGATCATGAGTTCAAGGACAGTTTGAACTATGTAATGAGACTCTATCAAAAAAAAAAGAGAGCATCTTTATCAATTACACATCTGACAGAGGATCAGATGCTCATCAGAGAAGTTTCTTCTTGAAGTACCTGGAAATTAGCGCAGAGACCCACAACCAGACAATGTGCAGAGAGAGAGTTTGGAGCACTGAGCCTTGAATGAGCTGTTTTTATCAACCGCCCCCCCCAAGACTCAGGGATCTACATGGAAGAAAAGTCAGTAGGATTTTAAGAGCCAGGGGTAAGGATAACTCCATCCCTGGAAAAATCATCTTCCTGAACAGTAAAACTGATGCACACATCAATTCACAGAGATGGAGAGAGCACACACAAGACCCACACAAGACCTACAAGTTCAAACCAAACAAAAATCCTAGACACAAAGGCCCACCCACAACAAGAAGCTGTTTGTAGTTGTAACTGTTTGTAATTGTAACCTCTTGCGGGCAGAGGTTATTAGAATCAGTCTTCTTCAGTAGGGGCACTGGGTATATCAACCACACTTCAGGGCAGGCCCAATGCTCAGTAGTAGTTGGTCAAGACAAAATGAAGTCTGTACTTTTTGTGTTCTTTTTGTTTTGACTTGGTTTGGGTTGTTTTTTTGTTTTTTGTTTTTTCCTTTGTCTTTGGGATTTGTTTTTTGAGTTTCTACGTTTTGTTTTTCTTTGAAAGAGAAAGAACGTGAAGTTGGGTGGAGGGGGAGGGGAGAAGTTCTGGGAGCAGTTTGAGAAGGGGAAAGAATTTAATCAAATATATTGGATGAAAAATATATAAATAAATAAATAAATAGAATTGTTTGATAACTCAGTAGGTATATTAAGTATGAACATAGCATGAAAGGACAAGATATTTAATAAAAGACGTATTCTGTCACTTACTAGATCTTTGAATTTGCCTCCATTGTCCTTCCTATAAAGTGGATATGATAGCATGACCTGGCTTATAAATTGCCTTCAGCTTATTTAACACATAGAAAAAGTCACAGCTGTACATATGAGAATGAAATATTGACGAACCACAGGGAGAAGAGATTCAGTGTTAAGATTACTGCTTTCCTGTTCTCCCAATGTTACAATTAAATAGAATATTACAGTTAAACCTGCTGCAAACCCAGGGAAAAGGAGTCAGGTTAGAATGCCATGCTGAAGGTAATGGATGGATGGAGTCATTCTGGATCAGAAGTTTCTAGCATGAAGTGGAAAGCTGAAATTCCTCCTGAGGTCCCAGGAAGAAAGACACATCTGTAGTTGGACAAAGGGCCACTGTGCCCTCCTTGGAGGCCTGCATACTTTATGAGAGACTGAGCAAAGGAGGGAATGTATGGGAAGAGAGACTCTGAGAATGAGATAGCTCAGATGTGAGAAGGCTGTAACCCACCCCTTCTTACTTAAACTTCCTACATCCACCTCATGATATAAAAATCAGGAAGATCTAGCATCTTCTATGAACCAGGGTGCTCAGCTGCTATGGCTCTGGTCCCCAGCAGCTAGGCGATGGAGGAATATGAACACTGTCCAAAGGAGACACAGCACCAGACCTCAAAGGTCCAGAAGCCCATTCCCAAACTTTATCCCTGCATCCATTGTGAGGGTAAGAATTAAAATCTAGGGTTTTGTTTTTCAGCAGAGTTCTGCCGTTAGTGGGTAAATGAGGAATTCCTCAGAAGAAATAATTCGCTTCTGATGGTCCAGCCTCACCCAGGCCTACTGGGAACAATGGTGGCATTCATCTGGACATAGAGATAGGATCGCCAAGAGTAGCAGTAGTCCTTGAAATGTGGAAAAGGGGAAAATGAATTGTTTTTACTCACAGCTTCTAGTTCTGTTATACTGATCAGAAACCACATAAACAGACCAACAGAAAGGACACTGCCTAACTTTCACTCCTTCTTCCCAGGGAGCATCCTGACCAGACCAGGACTGGCTTTGGCAGCGAGAGTCTTCTGCTCCGAGGCTGCACCATCCGAAACACCGAGGTGGCGGCTGGCATCGTCATCTACGCAGGTCATTGTCTCCGCACAGTTTCCTTTTTCCAACCTGCCTTAACACTCCCCTCTCCTACCTTTCCTCTAAATTCATCTTCAGACAATGGAAACTCTCAGGGTCTCCTGGGGGGCAGAGCCATGCAACTTCCCACTTCTCAGCTAAGCCAGAGAGGCTGGGAGCCACAGGAACTCGCTCAGGCCACAGGAGACATAATGAGATGCTGAGTCGATACCATGTAATCCACCAGGTAGGGAGAAGGACTCAGTTCATCACCCCAGTGGTGGCTTGGGGACAGAAGTACAGGCAGATCTTCAGAATAACCCCACCAAAAGATAACTTCTCTTGCATCTCAGTTTGCCTACTTCATAATGGGAAGAATATATGTGTCTACTTTATAGATTCCTGAAAATCAAATGGCCTATCCCATGCAAGTCACCTAGCGCTATATCAAGTGAAGGGAAGGCTGGATAAACTTCAGTTACTGTCCTCCCCCCCCCCCCCCCGGCTATGTTTCCTTTATCCACTGTATGGTTCTAGATATGGAGATATTTTAATTACTATACTACAATAGCTGAGGCAGGCTAGCTTTCAAGAAAAGAGGTTTAATTTAGCTCACAGTGTGGGGAGGTGTATGGACCTGGCACAGGTATTGGCTCATCTCTGCTTAGGACCATCTTGCCTATGTCATGTCATTATGAGGGAATCTCCTTGTCACCGAGAGACTAGAGTCTTCCAGAATAGGCTCTAGTGTGGAGGTTTGTGCTTCTCACAGCAAACATTTATTGAGCCGCTTCTACCTACCTAGAGCTAAGTGGATCACACACATATGGAAAATATGATGTCACGTTGGCCATTAATGATGATGGGGGCCGGCTGTTGGCACTGAATCATTGAAGGCCAGGAGGTTCCTTAATGTGGGCAAAGAACTTTTGGTGGTTCTCACACCCAACACATACACTCACCCTCTGAAACTGAGCCTCAATGAACTCTCCTTCTATAAGTCGCTTTGGCCATGGTGTTTTGTCATGGCAATAGGAAAGTAACTAAACGGGCGGTGGTGGCGCTCGCCTTTAATCCTATTGCTCAGGAGGCAGAGGCAGGTGGACCTCTATGAGTTTGAGGCCACAGCCAATTTCAGGACAGCCAGAGTCATTATACAGAGAAACCCTGTTTCAAAAAACCAAAAAGAAAAGAAACTAAAAACAGAAGGGGAGGCGGGGCAGCAGTGGCGCACACCTTTAATCCCAGCACTTGGGAGGCAGAGCCAGGCAGAGTTCAAGGCCAGCCTGGTCTACTACAGTACTACCAAAACTACACAGAGAAACACTGTCTCGAAAAACAAACAAAACAAAACCAGAAGGAGAGAGAGAGAGAGAGAGAGAGAGAGAGAGAGAGAGAGAGAGAGGGAGAGAGAGAGAGAGAGAGATTGATTCTGGTGGAGGGCCTGGGGCCCTGCTGGCCTCACAGTCCATGCCTGCCCGGGATTTAGCAGGAAGAGCAGCCTTTGTTCTGAATGAATCAGACCAGCTGTTTGTGAAGGGCCAGCCCCACTCTTCTGGGTGCCACATACCAGAGGGCATTCGGCTGTCCCAGCAGGTCACCAGTGGGAGGAGGGGCGGTGCTTTGTATACAGGACTGTACCATTGACAGACTTACATTATCAGCATACAGAACAATAGGCTTTTCAGATATGTCTTAGCATTGAAACACAATTGGCTGGCAATACATTACCTTCTCTGGGATTAAAAAAATAAAGCTCTGATAAATATAATTAAAAATCAGCAGAGCAGCTGATGGGGTTGAGGTTGAGATTTTAGTGGAAGATACTCGTAGACTGAGGAAAATTGGTAAAAATGCTTGTCACATAAGCACTTTAAGCACATAAGCTTGTCCAGCTGCACCATACATGTAGGAAAGCCAGGGTGTGCCTATAACTCCAGGGCTGGGGGCCTGCTGGCCAGACATCTAAGCCCCAGATTTAGAGAGAGATCTTGTCTCAAAAAATAAAGTGGAGCCAGACTTGGAGGGGCACAACTTTAATCCCAGCACATGGGAGGCAGAGGCAGGTGGATTATGGGGGGAAAAACTCACAGGAAGTAGAGAATTGGAGCTTGGCCGTCTCTTTGGTTTGGCATCAGTAAAGAGAGTCTCTTAGTCACTAGCTAAGGAGGAAGGTCAGCTGGTTGCTTCTCAGCCTCTCTGAGCTAGCATGTTTTCATCCCAGTATTGACTCTGGAGCCTTTATTGGTAAAGACTTAAGAAACTTAGCTAAAAACTGTATTTGGCTACAGAGGCAGAGGTGGTTCTGGCGGGACACAGGGCAGAGGGGCAGTGATTGAGGAGCTGCGGTCTGTACAGAAACAGTGTAGGTTCAGGTGCGGTCCTTACGGAAACAGCGTAGATGCTGTCCTTACAAAAACAGTGTAGATTCAGGCGAGGTCCTTATGGAAACAGCATAGATTCTGGCGCAGTCCTTACGGAAACAGCGTAGATTCAGGAAACAGCATAGATTCAGGGGAAGTCTTTATGGAAACAACGTAGATTCAGGTGTCCTTACGGAAACAGTGTAGATTTAGGAAACAGCGTAGATTCAGGAGCGGTCCTTATGGAAACAGTGTAGACACTGTCCTTACGGAAACAGCGTAGATTCAGGAGCAGTCATTATGAAACAGCGGTGGATTCAGGTACAGTCGCCATGCCGACAATAAAACCACAGATTCCCCAGAAGCATGCTTTGCTTTTCCTGCTGAGTGGCCGCTTGCAGGTCACTTTGGCAAGGGACAAAAAGACGTATGTAGCTTCTCATATAGCCATTCTCCAAGGTCTCAGCTGACTAGGAACGCTATGTCAAAATTTGTTGGTGTAAACACCTCAGTGCCCTACAGACTCGGGCTATGTCCTGTTTTCTGACGTTCTCCACATCACCCTCGAGGAACGAAAATGCAGACTTCAGGCAAGTTTGAGGCAAAGTACCACAAAAGGACCATTTTCCTCAATAGGAAAATCGATTAAATTTTCAGAGGCAATTTATGACTTGCTTTTAAAAAAAAAATTATTACAGCAGACTGAAGAGCTGACCCTGCCTCCACACACACACACACACACACACACCTAGGCAGAGTGGGAGAGCTGGCCCTGGTGGCATGGGTGCAGGAGAGCTGGCAGGCTGACCAACTCAGCTTCCTCCCAGGCCCAGATCCAGAGCTTTGAGTTGGGGGAACCCAACATCTACCCCATCCATGAACTGCTGGAGCATGAAGAAGCCAGTCCTGCAGAACCAAAGCCGCAGGATCTTCACGACACAGGTCAACAGCAGGATATCCAAGAGTCCTGGTGAGGGTGCAGTGTTGTTAGTGTAGCAGAAGCCAGAGGCCTTGAACCCGTCCAAGGACTGGTTGCAATGATCATTTGCAAATAAAGCTGTTGGTCAAAAGGGTAGACTGCATGGTGCTGCAGCTCCACAGCCAGATTTTTGTTTGTTTGTTTTGTTGTCTTTGGGGGAAGAGGTCGCAAGGGCAGATGTGGAGGGACGGGAAATGAACAGGTTTGGGATATATGACGTGAAATTCACAAAGAATCAATACAAAGTTTAAAAAAGTAAAATAAAGGAAAGAAATTTTAAAAATATTTTATTATGTTATATGTAGGAGTGAGTGTTTTACCTGCATGCATGCTCAATGCCCACAGAGGTCAGTTGTGAGCCACCATGTGGTGCTAGGACTCAAACCCAAGTTCTCTAGAAGAGCACCAGTGCTCTAACCACAGAGCCATCTCTCCAGTCTCTGTGACTTGCCTTTTAAAGCATACAGCTTAATCACGGCATAAAATGCAACTGGTGATCTGGCCTGACAGGGACTTGTGAGTGACTCCAGGAATTTGAGATGTCCAGGGCCTGGAGTGAGTGGGGTTGTTAAACATTGCAGTTCTCACCGCCCAGACAGACTGGTTCCTGCTGCCCTGCCTGGCATTGTGACCACAGGTGACCAGGCCTCACCTTCTTGTTCTTTCCTGCTCAAACTTTGCACCCATAGCTGTCAAATCACTTGCTAATGCCATGGCAGCTTACCGAAAGCCCCCTGAACCCCCAACCACGAACCACGTCTCTCTTTCTCTTTCTTTCTCTCTCCTACTCACCATAACATGCCTACAGTAAGCTGTAGGTTAATTCCTTCCTCCATACCCACCACACGTACACAACCCTTATTCCTTTTTGCAGATGAGAAGTTCAAGTGCAGAGGAATCCATTCACCTAAGGTCCCACATGTTGGTTAAGCAGCGGTGCTGCCGACTACTGGATGCTGCGGTGGTGGAAGAATCACGAGCCGTGGTTACCTTTCTAGAGCTTTATTTGGAGAGAGAGGGAGAGAGGGAGAGAGAGGAGAGAGAGAGAGAGAGAGAGAGAGAGAGAGAGAGAGAGAGAGAATACGGAGGGAGAAAATGCAGAAAAAAAAGCACAGAGAGGGCACACCCGCTTTTTAGGCTGGGAAAGCTATCTCAGGCTAGTGACGTAATTAAGGACATAATCCTTACACCACACTCCCTGAGATGAACTCCCTGTAAGCCAAGGTCAAATATATACAGAGCTGAATCCCAACTCTAGCAGCCCTGCCCTCCCTAACTGCCTTGCCTTTGACCCCACTCCAGACCTAAAGAATGAAAGGATCTCAGAGGGTGAGGACCCCTATGAGGTGAGCCTGAGGCAGGGAGTGAGCGAAGAATGCAGCAACCTGTGCCTGTCACCCTGTTAGAGCCCCTCACAACTACAGCAACTCAAATCGAATTTAATAATCTAAGCTCGTTTGCTCCTACTGCTGTTGTTATTCTAAATCCTCAAGGCAACTAACTCGGTAGCATTAAAGCCATTTGCTTCTGGAGCTGGTGCACTGGTTTTCTTTAATTTTACACAGAAAAATGAATGGCATTTTTCACTTTGACTATTGGTGAGTACACACAGTAATTAAAACCCAGCAACTCCTAAGAAGAGACACAGTCTGAAGACCAAGTGTTTCTCAGCACCTCACTTGGGTTGGTGGAAGGAAGAATCCTGGCTTCCCACTGTGATTCTAGTATTAACTTATTCTTTCACATTGGACAAGTTCCTTCTACCCTGCTCCTCAGTTTCCCCAGGTAGAAAAGAAATAACTAGGAAAACTGATAGTCTTCCAACTTTGGCATTTTTTTTTTCTTGGAACAAGATTTTATGGGGAGGTAGCTGATGAATGCTGGGGTGACAGATTTTGTTTCTACTGTTCTTCCTCAGGAAATGTCAACACCTTAGACATTAAGAAACAAACACGGGAACTGTTGGCCCCAAGATCAATCCTCCTGCAGGATCTTTGCACATGCATCTTTTTCCATCTAAATTCCCAATTTTCTCTCAAAGGTCATGAGACGAAAGCCATGCTGAACAACAGTGGGCCCCGCTACAAACGCAGCAATATTGAGCGGCGCATCAACAGGGATGTCTTTTTCTGCATCGGCCTCCTCTTCCTCATGTGCCTTATTGGAGCTATAGGTAAGGGATGTTCTGCAAAAAGCAACACAGAAATCCATTCAATTCTTTTGGCAAATCACTATAATTCTGAGCTTTAATTTCCTTAAAGAAAAATCAAGTCTGTACCCCCTACTTTATTGGAGGTACTGATGAAAACCTACTGTAAAGTGTATGTGTTCTTAAATACTAGCAATACTGTCGATGATTGATGGGCTGAAAAAAAAATCTCATGAAGCACAGGTGTTCTCTGAGCATGGAAGGAGAATAAGATGGATGACTCATAGGACTGATCCTTGGAGAGCCCACAATCTGCCCAGGAGGAGCCAAACAGAATTGAGAGCTCACGCTGCCCTACTCAATGGGGCACTTCCCATGGGCACTGCATTATTTGCCTGTTGTTGCAGTGAAATTAAGTCATATATGCTGAGAGGATGAAAACAGCACAAATTCACTCTACTTCTGCATCTTCTTCTAAGCAGCAGAAGTCCAATTTGAGTGGGTTAAGATCATGACTTCGGCAGCTCTGCTTCCTTCTGATGAGACCCAATGAGAAATCGGTCCTGTCTTTTTCAATTTCTAGAAGCTTCCTCCTGGCCTTTGTTCATTGCACTAGAAGCATCTTCCATACTCTGCTCATATCTCCCCAGCCTTATCTGTGGTACCTCCTTTTATAAGCACAATTGTAATTACATCCTTGAAGCCACCAGGAGAATCCAGGATACTCCCCATTTTGAATTTCATAAGTTAATCACATCTGCAAATTCCTCTCTTCCTCCTAAGACATACTCTTCCCAGGACCCACGAATTAGGATATATCTTGTTATGGGTGAAGTGTTATTTCACCTCCCATGGGCACTGTGGAAACACCAGTGAGGGGAGTCTTTCCTGGAGAGGTACCTGTTCTAGCTGATTACTAACTGAGCTGGACATTTGCTGCAGGAGATAGGTGGCAGACACAAGTTCAGGAGCACAAGGAGGCAGGGAAATCTGGGGAGAGGAAGAATGTACTTAGTCACATGGGTAGCACAGGGTACAGAGGTGGGAAGGAGAATGACTATAGACAGAAAAGCAGTTGGCTCTCTAGTGTGTAAGAGCAAGAGCAAGCTCAAAAGGCCTAGAAAGGAGTGAGCTGGAACCACTTAAGTTGATCTTCAGAGTGGAGACAAGAAAGAGTTCTCCATGGAGATCTTACCCTTCGCATCCCCCCATCATCTTTACTCTAGGGGTGTTTCACAGAATGCTTAAGGAGACCTCACAAAGAATCAGGGATGATCAGGAGAAAAAAAACTCATGAGCCCGCATACCCCTGAATAACCCTGACCCAAAGAACAGCAATGATGTTGGCTACCAGTCATATTCTGAAATCATAATCATCACTATATTTGAGAAGATGATGTCTAAAAGGCAAAGCGTGAGATCTAGTATGTCAGTGTAGTAAAGACACTGGGACTTGTCTCAAGGTGGCCAGGAATTTATATTTAATGTAGCTCACAGGTGAGCCTAACAGTTGTGCATGAGTGGGTGGCTCACAGCTGGAAAGATAGAGGAAACCACAGCAAGGACACAGCCACTCCCACCCCTGCCCTCATGGCTGTCGAACTAAGCCTCCATGTTGAGTAAATTTTTCAGGCATGCCAGAACTGAAAGTTTACTTGAGATCACTGTGTCTCCAGACAAAAAAGAAGTTAATGATTACACACATAGATAAGGCACCCCAAGTTGGCTTTACAAGGTCTCCAAATGGTAAAGGGAGAACATCAATGGAAAAGGAAGACAAATCCTCTATTGCAAACAGCAACTTTTATGAAACAGGACTCTTTGGCCGCCTCATTAAAGCATAGCCTTGGAAGAGGAGAAAGTTCTCCCATGACAAGTATGATTCCAGGGTTCCTTACCAAATGTTCCCTTTGGTTTTATAGCAAGGTGTGTCTTCTTGCTTAGCTCATAAGGCACAAACATTACATACACAGACACCTGCCCAGGCTCCATGACCTCCGAGACTTCTGGTTCACCTTGTAGCTTCTCTGCTTTGTTGTCTTACTGCAGGGGCCCCTTCTCTGTGAATGTCTTCTCCTCTATACAGTCACCATTAAATTATATTATGTCTGTAATACTCCTTTTTTTCTGAAGTGACTGTGAAGAATTTGGCCCAGCCTGGCTGGGAGGGAGCCTTTGGGTGTGATGACATTTTATGGCTCTTATTCTCTATAGTTCCTGCCCTGAAGCTGACAGCATTTGTTTTAATTGGAATTTACTCCACATCAGAGTCCATCATTGAGGGAAGTCAGGGCAGAAATCTAGAGGCAGGAACTGAAACAGAAGCCATGGAGGAGTGCTGCTTACTGGCTTCTTCCTCATGGCTTGCTTGCTTGTTTTCTAATACCATCCAGGACTATCTTCCCAGGGGTGGCATCACCTAGTAAGCTGGTCCCTCCCATATCAATCAAGAAAATGTACCAAAGATTTGTCCATAATCTGTGGGGAATTTTTTGCCAATCTAGTAATGGAATTTTATCAGTTGAGGTTCCCTCTTCCTTGTATTAAAGCTGACAGAAAAATAGCACAGAATTCTGCACAATGGGTTATTCTAGTTTCACAATAACCCTATAGGAAAGCTATTACTAATGAACAGATAAGGACATTCAAGTTTAGACATATCTATAGCAGGTGCTGGATGTAGCTCATCTTGCACAATCCTGTGGTGTTGTCACCCCTTTAGCAAATAAGGAAACAGAGTTCAGTGTGTACGTGGTGTGACTCTCATAGCTTCCATGCTCTAGCACATAACCCCCTCAGGATCGTTTAAGGTCAAAGTCCTTTGCTTAGTGAAAATTACTTAAGAACAAAAACCAAGACTGATACAATCAATAAGTATTGGATATAGGAGGGAAGAGTGGGAAAAATAGGTAATTAGGTACATAAATAAATGAGGGGATGGGTAGGAAAGAAAAGTGGAAGACAGATGTGTCAAGATTGCCCAACCACACACTTCATACAATAAAGTATGTGTTCCATTATCTTTCCAACCTCTATGTGATAAGACTCCACTAAAATATATGTAACCTTCATACTAATCTTTCCAGTAAAAACAGACTTAGTGTCCATCATTCCATCAAGGGATTGAACAGTGAAGAGTTGGGTCCATGAAGCACCGCTGTCACATTAAAAGAAAAGAGGAAAAGAGGAGGAGAGGGCACTGTGTCATGGGAAATAAAAATGGGCTCTTCAAATACCCACCCATGTCCAAATACCAACATGTCATGAGTACCTGGCCAACTTAGAACTAAGAAAAGACTTAGTCTGATGCCTAGCTTTGCTTCTTCTCAGGCCATAGCCTCTGGAATGGGACCTTTAAAGAGCATCCTCCCTTTGACGTGCCAGATGCTGATGGGAACTTCCTTTCTCTTGGCCTTGGAGGCTTCTATATGTTCCTCACAATGATCATCCTGCTCCAGGTAAGAGCTCTCTACCCTCCACAGCTTCAGAAAATAAAGAAAAATAAGTGCTAATGCCAGAAAGAAGTAATAAGGACAAGATGGGAAGACAGTTATTGCCTTCTGGTGTGTTTACCAAGTGTTCACATTGGTAATGTCAGGACAACCTCTCAGCTGTAGAAAAAGGTTCAGAGTAAGACCATAGCTGTCACCTATGTCTATGTCCCTTTGCCAGACAGAACAGGAAAAACACTATGACCCAAGACCAAAGGAAGATTAAATACCCAAGTGTTGGAGATAGAGAAAATTGACATGTTAATGTTCCAGCATTTGATAGAGAAGAACAGAGTAGATGAGAAAAATAGAGTTGACACCTATAAAAGATGTAGTAAGGGATAAAGAGATGTTTTTCTTTACATATTTGGGCTCTATCAAGACACACAGCTGATAGAAAATGAGAAGATGCAGGTTTTGTTTGGTGAAGACTCGTCTACAGTCAATGTCTTTTAGAACTCTGTTCCTGACTGATGAACCATTTCAACCTCCCATTCATCATAGCAGTTTGATCCTTCTTAAAGGCAAATGTAAACACACCTGTTCTCTGTGCAGAATCTGCTGGTAATCCATGTCTGCTTGGAATAAAATCCAAAGTCCTTATGGAAGCCAACAAGGCTTTAAACAACCTGGACCTTGACCGCATCTCATCTCCTACAACTCTCCTCCTCCATTCTTCCTGTATCATGCCTGCTCACTATCACCTCCTGAACAACCAAACCCCTCCCACTGCCCAGAATTCTCCACCCAGTGTGATCTTCGCACCCTCCTCTCTTCAGTTTCTGCCCAAACATCATGTATATGAAAGTCCATTCAGTCTATGACTCTATGTCCTCTCTGATTTCCTTTACTCTATTTCATGAGACAACCACATCATATATATTGATTGTCTATATATTGTCACTAGAATATGAGTTCCTTATGGCCAGTTTTGTTCTAACAACCTCCATTTCCAAGACTTGGAACAATGTCCAACGAAGAGCAAGAGCTGGCATTGGACTAGTGAACGTAATGAGCAAAAGGCCTGAGCACCTGCAAAGATGCCAATGACCCTCTATATCACAGAGATCTGAGGGCTCAGGAGTCTCTCAAGAGGGCTGCTAAAATTCCTATACTCAACATGCTGTCAGTAAATAGCCAGTGAGGAGTGCCTGCTCCCCTCCCCTCAGATACCACAGGATGAAGAGGCATATCTCCACTTCACATCCCCCACAAGTATTGCAAGGGAGGCCTGAAGTCACTAACTTTTAATTTCTCAGGAAAAGTCATGCTGTAAGCTGTCCTCACCTTTCTATCAAATGCCTTTGCTATCCACTAGTGAGGGTCTGGGAGCAGGGATCAAGCAGGTTTCTGACACAGTGTGAACCATCCTCCCTCAGGTGTTGATCCCGATCTCCTTGTACGTGTCCATCGAGTTGGTAAAGCTCGGGCAAGTGTACCTCCTTCATAATGACCTGGACCTATATGATGAAGAAACCGATTTGTCTATTCAATGTCGAGCCCTCAACATTACAGAGGACCTGGGCCAGATCCAGTACATCTTCTCTGACAAGACGGGGACCCTGACAGAAAACAAGATGGTGTTCCGGCGTTGTACCATCGTGGGCAGTGAATATTGTCACCAAGAAAATGGTATGAGGGCCCACAAGCACCCTGGCCTCTTGACAGGGGGACGAGGACACTATTCTGATTCCCCACAGGGTTTCTGTAGCATTTTGGCAAGTTGTATCACCTCTCCATACAGCACAGTGTGTTTACATCAAGGATGGGCTAAGATGGAATGTGTCCCAATTATGTCTGTCATGAAATCAAGGCTTAGGAATTTGTCCTGTTACCTTACCTGGTGTGTCAGGATGTGTCTAGATCTAGGCACATGGTGAACTTTGACACATTTAGAAAATGCCTTCCATTTTAACAAATGTCTGAGATTTCATCAAGTCAGTGTTTTGACTTAGAATATGAAGGTATAAGATTCCTGGACTGTTACTTTGTTACTTTTTGTGGTCTGAAGGTAGCCTGTAGAACTGAGTTAGTACACACACACACACACACACACACACACACACACACACACACACACATACACACACACATACACACACACACTAAAGAGAAAGGAGATATTATAGATAGCCCTATCCCCTTTGCTATGGCAATCACTCACTATTTACACAGGAGCCTCTTATTTCTTTTTAATAACATAATAGCTATTACTACAAGCACCTAGCTTAGCTAGTTGTTTTCACATATTATGTTACTAAAATCTTCAAAATGATCCTGAGTTTTATACTTCTTAATAACTTCTAATTGAGGAACTAAAGGTAGAGGTTAAATCAAAGACCAAGATCATATTACTTTATCCAGTCTTAGTAGCCCAGCCACAGAAAAGCCTTTTAGACCTTTCCTGTGCTCTATCCCAACCCCTGAAGTCTAGCGTCCCACCCCACCCCCGCCAACCACAGCTCAGCCAAGATGTAACAAGATTCCTTTCTTGCAGCCAAGCGATTGGAGATGCCAAAGGAGCTGGACTCAGATGGAGAGGAATGGACCCAATACCAGTGTCTGTCCTTCCCACCTAGATGGGCCCAGGGCCCAGCAACGATGAGAAGCCAAGGAGGTGCCCAGCCTCTGAGGAGGTCCCAGAGTGCCCGGGTCCCCATCCAGAGCCACTCCAGACAAAGGTCTGTGGGACGCTGGGAGACCTCACAGCCTCCGGTGGCCTTCAGCAGCTCAATAGTAAGTCTCTGCCTTGGTTCATTGAATCACAACCAAATTACGCCAAGAAGATAACAGAGAAGGTTCTCAGGTATAGCAGAGGCTCTATAAACCCTGATTAGCTGGTGGTTGGGGGTGTAGCTTAGTTGAGAGAGTGCTTTCCTAGTATGTATGAGACCTGAGTTCAATCCCAGCCCCTCACAAACCAAGTAGAATGCTACATACCTATAATCCCAGCACTTGCTATATAGTGAGTCTAAGGCCATCCTGGGCTACATGAAACTCTGTAATATTTTTTTTTAAAAAAAGTCATTTAAAGCCTGAAGAGATCTCAGAATGGCCCCTTCCAGTCCCATAGGGAACCCATACAGTGTTCTGTCAGCATACACAATTCTTGTTAGTCAAAACGTTTGGTGTTTGGAAATTAAGAGTTCTTATCTGAAATATTCATTTCTCCTGTTCTGAAAATGGAATTAGAAAATTTCCTGTACTAATCCAGGGTTTCCTCATGGCAATAATTGGCTTGAGTTAAGGAACCCTTACCACGTAGGTTGGTACAATCCTCGGTGCCCTAGAGCCTTTGCCCTTCCCCACCTGTCACTACCACACCTGAGAGCCAGGGGCCTCCTCATTATGGACACATTTCCAATTACACAGCTAAAGGAAACCAGAAAGTATTTGTTATGTTTGTATTTTCATACACTAGAAAGACAAAAGATAAGCCTTTAAGCCCTTGTGCACTTGAAGAAAGGTGAAAGAAAATATTCTAGTAGTAATTAAAGAGGAATTTTAAAGAGTTTTATCCTGTCTTCCCCTTTCTTTAATTCTACACACTGAATGGAATGCTCTTCTCCCAAATTTTTATATGACTATTTTTCAGTTACTTAAATGAGGTGTCATTAGGCCTATTCTGAATGTCTTTTGGCATTTCACAGTTCTAGTGTGGCAGGCACCTTATGTACCTATTAATAAGTGTCCCCACTACCAAGGACACAAGGAGGGAAATCTGGAGGCTTTTTGCCAGCATTGAAATAGGCAACATGATGATTCTCTGCCCCTTGTTTAACCTCACAAATCATAGGATCCCAGAATCAGGCAGTATAGATTCCTTTTTTTTTAATACATTTTCATCTTAACTTATTTTGCCCAAGATGATCTCAAATTCCTGGGCCCAAGAAACCCTTCTAGTGAGTATACATTTGATAGAGGGCCCTCAGCTGATGGCAGTGCATGGGACGTACTAATCCCAAACTGTCTCCGGAACCTAAACTATGGTCAGTGTTCTGCACTGGCTGGCAATTTCAAAAGCAAGTTCTAAGTCAGAGCTTGCCTCAGAAACTCCCAAGGTCCCAGAACCTGGCAGCAGTCTACCAGCTTCTCAAGACACCAGCTATTAAGCCTGGCGGGTGGTGGCACATGCCTTTAATCCAGGCATTTGGGAGGCAAAGGCAGGCGGATCTCTGTGAGTTCAAAGACAGCCTGGTCTACAAAGCGAGTTCCAGGACAGGCTCCAAAGCTACACAGAGAAATCCTGTCTTGAAAAAGAAAAAAAAAAAATTTAAAGGCCAGCTCTTGGTTTCCCTGGCCCTTGGGTGCAACCCAAAAATAAAACAGGAATCAACAGTAGCAGCAACAACCAAAACTGGGTTTGTTGTTTTTCTTTAGCTACCAAACACAAGGCAGTATCAGTGATTATCTCCTAATTGCCTGCTATAAAACTGTGGTTTTAAGGTGGGTAACATATTTATGAAACTGGCATGTCCCCAGCCAGTGTTTCATAGCACGGACAGATGGAAAATAAAATGCCTTTTGCCCTGCTCTGAAAGCAGCCAAGATTTCAGCAGAGTCTACGAGCCACTTATACAATGTTTTTCAAAATCATCAAAGCAAAGACCATCTTCCCAGTCGTGGGAAGCTGCCCTGGGCTCCTGAAGGCTCGTCCGCCACTCCCTTCTGTGGGCATGTCCCCTTCCCTGACACCTCCAGAGAGAACGCAGTAGACACAACTGCAAGAGGTGCCGAGGGCAGCCTCTTTCTTAATGACTCCTCCGTGAAACACTCCGACTCTCCTGCACATTGGCAGGGCAGCCAACATATGCCTGCTGCCTCTGTGGGGTTAGATAAGAGTCCTGATTTCATCAGACAGGCACACAGTCTTTCTGCAAGTAATGTGACCACACGAGACAGAATTGTCCTTAGCCCCCAGGGACCCAGATAGGAGGTTAAGAACTGTCGGAAAATTCTTTCTTGGGTAGCCACAGTGAATTTTCCTTCAACTTACATAGCTTGCTTTAACAGTCTGGGTGAATTGGGCTTTCCTAATTCTTCATCCAAAGTAAATATCATTAAGACTGAAACCCTAGGATAAATACATCACTGCCTTGAAAAGGGAATTCAGCCTTCAGCTCCTAGCAACCAAAAAGGCCTGTTTACATGCTACTAATACCAACATACAGTTAGGTATTAAAAGGGGATCAAAGACTACATGGTGCTGTCCTCCATCCCCGCTCTCCCAAAGGCCTGTACAGGCTATCCTCACAGTAGCCTATGCATCCTTTCCAGGGGAACCTCCCTATACAGAAGCCTCTATGGAACACACACACACACACACACACACACACACACACATACACACACACGATGATGTTTTGACCAGGGGACTTTTGGATTTTGCCTTTCTGTTTTCATGTGTGTGCATGTGTGCATATGCAGGTTTACATGTGTGTATCCACATGGCTATGCATGCATATGCCTCTCTGTGAGTATGCACATGCACATGTGGAGACCCAAGGTCAGTGTCAGAAGTCATCTTCAATCAATCTTACTCATTGCAATAGGGTCTATCAATCAAACACAGAGCTTACCAATATGACTACTCTAGCTAGGCAGCTTGCTCTGGGGATCCCTTATCTATCTGCCAAGGCTGGAATTACAGGTGGGCTGCCAAAGCCACCCCATATTTACAGGAGTGCTAGGGATCTGAACTGCAGTTTGCACACTTTCAGAGCAAGCACTTTAACCACTGAGCCATTTCCCCAGGCCCAACATTGCTATTTTAAAAAAATTAACAAATCCTGGAAAATGTTTCCTATGTGCAGGCACATGTGTATAAATTCAGTAGATACAGCCTCATTCTTTTTTTGTGGCTGTTGGACGTTGTCAAATAGTCGAGCTATCATGTGCTTTATATGTGTGTGGCAGGCTTTTTATACAGTATTAATTTTTAGAGCATAAGAGCTAAGTTGGAGTGTTGGTGCATTTCTTATTCTATTGATTTTTCCCAAAGATGTTAGAGCAATTGACATGTCCCCCAGCAACAAACAGAAGGGCCTGCTTCCTCCTTACTCTGTCGAGTGTATCTGTGGCAACTGTCAGCAATTCTTTAGAATAGCCTTTCATTTATTTGGTCAGCTGATCTTTCAACATTAGTTAACATCTATTCAGTGGCAGATACAGTAGCTGGATGGAAGGGATACAAAGTCTCATAGGACAGTAGCCCCTGGATTCATGGATTTACATCCTAATGAAGGAGCAAGTGGGATGCCAGTGACTTCTGCTGGGATGGTAGGTACAGATGTGTTACAAGAGACCAGCAGAGGGTAGTACCATCCTCCTTCCAACTTCCTGGGAGCTTCCTGGCAAAGCTAGCACCTGAATTGGCCTTCAAGACAAGATTGAGAGGCAACCAGGGGATTTTAAGCAGTGGTAGTAATCTAATGAGGTGAAGAATGCAAACTTCTGGGGAAGCAAGGCAGAGCATTTGGAGGTGCTCATCCACAGCTAGAAAAAAAGAATGCAAGTTGGAGAAGTAAGGAAGATTGAGTCACAAGAGGAGCCAGGCCATAAAGGGTTTACTTGCAAGCTAGGGGCCAAGCCACCTATTTCTCTCTACCACTGGCTTAATGGACTTCTGTATTAAGAAGCTGCCATCCCCAATCAGTAACAGTGACAGTATGACTTGAGTAGCTTCTTAAAACTTATTCAAACCAGCCTAGCCAATCAGTGAGCTCCATGTTCAGTTAAAGTCCCTCTCTCAAAAACTAAGGTGGAAAGCAATTGAGGAAGACACCCAGCATCTAGGATGACCTCTCACCTCCACACATATGCACGTGCAAGTGTACACACAAACACACACACACACACACACACACACACACACCTGAAAGGAGAAGAGCAGAATGGAGGCTGCCTACTTTCCCCAGACTTCAGTGTGAGAATACATCCCAGCCAGAGAGGAAGAGCATTCATTGGGCAACAGTGTAGTACACATTTTTGCTGTTCAAACTTTGCTCTTGAACCAGCAGCACAAGCCCTTCCTGTGAGCTAGTTAGAAATGCAGGTGCCCAGGCACATTCCAGGTGGCCTGAATTCAAACACAGTTTGTAAAGCGCCAGTATAACATTTAAGAGTTCAGGCTTATGGATCAGCAAGAACTAGATTCAGGATCCTGGCACAGGACTTGAGACCTTGGACAAATTACTTCATTTCAGTGAGCCACTTTTTGCCTCATAATCAAAATGGAAAATGACAGTAGCTGATGTCAATTATGTAAATGAGAGTATTTAGCAAAGGACTTAGGATAACAAGTATGTACCCGTTATCATCAAAGATAATCTAATGATAACAGCATCCCTTCCTGTGGACCCTGAGCTCCCACAAGATTTGTATGCTTCAGGTAATTGACAGTAAAAGGAAAGCCAACCAATTGAGAGCCTGGATACCACAGAGATCTAGCTTGAAAACCCCATAAATAGCCTCCATACATTCCTCTTTCTTTTCCTTCGGAGTTACCAAGAGTTGGGAAAGAAATTGCCTTTTTCTATGTGTTTGAAGGGCTAAGTTCCCAAATGCTAACAAACCACACAGAAAAAAACAATGGGCCAGAGCACAGAGTACCCTGAAGGAATTTGCTGGACAGAGCAGATATGGTGACTACGTAAAAGTTGATAGGCATCTTCTCCCAGCACCTTCAGAAGCCTTTTGTCACACATTGCTGTATGATCAAGTAGAAATGTATTAAAGAACTATTTTAATAAAGAAATGTTAAGGACCAATGAGATGGTGCAGCAGGTAAAGTTGTCTGCCACCTAGCCTGATGACCTAAGTTCGATTCTTGGGAACCACGTGGTGGAAGGAGAGAACTGACTTCCAGATGTTGTCCTCTGACCTCTACTCACGGCACCCACACACATACACATACACTCAAAAAAATAAATAAAAATGGGGGGGGGTCAAGAGTCCATCAGTGGTGGACAAGCGAAGTACTCTAGAAGGGAGTCATTCAACATTCTGCATTCAACATGTCCATAATCTGCGGGCACTGGGGACACATCAGAGACAACCCATCATCCTCATGACACAGACTCAAGAGTACTTAAACAAGTACCTGCTAAGTGATTCTGGCTGTGTGACCAATCCAGGATGTGGAACATGTGTTCTTTTCAGGAAGAGGAACACTTGCACAACCTCCCAGACTGCTGAGAACTCGGGGTTTGATATGCAAGTCAGTCTATTGTATCTGGCATGCGAGACACTAAAGGCTCCAACTTTCACCAAGTCCCAAAGGCCTCTTCCTTATCATGGAGGATCTTGCCTGGTATAGGAGTCGGGGGAAAATCGGGGGTGTGCTAGAGTCAAACTACCAAAAATCAACTGAGGAAATGCCTCCCACATATTTTGAGAGCTTAGGTAAGGCACTGAATTTTGCTAAGCGTGAGTTTCCTCATTTAAAATTCAGAGGTAACAGCACCCAGACAATATCAGTACTAATAGCAAGAATACATTGAGATGGCAGATGTGCTGGGAACATATGAAACACTACATGGATAGGAGTTATTATTATTATGAGAAATGGGCTCGGTGTTAAGGAGATATTGGCTACTGTGGCTACAGAACTTTGGAAGGAGTGTTAACGAAGCCCCTGTGGCATAAGCCTGGGGAGGAAGATGCTGTGCCTGTTGTATAGGGATATAATTCATGATTTGGGCTTCCCCCTGTCTTGCTAAAAGCCAGTGGTCAAATTAGCCCACATCTCTGGGCTTTGGTTAAGACTGGATTACATTCATCTCCACAAAGACCTGTGGGGTCCTAGACTTGGGAAGGTAGAAAGCACTTCATAAATGTGAGCTACTTTTAGAAACACAATATTCAAATGCAGAGAAGTTGGATAGCCCACATTTTAGAGTGATGGAACAAATGGGAAGTTCTACAAGAAATGGGAAACTATGGACCAGCTTCAGCTCAGAAAGTAAAGGAAAAGAGAAAACAGGTCACTTAACCATCTCTGCTTTCTCCCGAAGAGTCAGGATTCTTGGCAAAGGGACCAGCCTTGGAGCATTTTGCTAAGCAAAGTTGGCAGCACTATCTAGTATGGTTTGCCAGGTCAACAGCACCTTCCATCCCATAATGACCTCAGCTGTGCCTTGGCCTACTTCCCTCATTCTCCTTATATGCTTGGTAATTGTGGGCAGTCTCAGTGTAGAACTTGCTTTTGTGGTTCAGAAGAGTTCATTGCGAGTTAGAAAAACTCTAATGAGCAGAAAACATTTCTGTGGTCATTAAGATCTAGGAAGGATTCTGGTGGGTAGGAGAGGATTCTTAACCTAACAGGTGTGACCAAAGGCATCAAAGGAGACTGTGTGTCCAAAATGCAACAGAGACCTCTAGGGTCTACTGAAGAAAAATCTTGGAAATGTATGTGTGAAAGGATGTAGATGCAGGAGGAGTTGGTGATGCTAACAGTGGTGATCTAGAGATCTTTTTGGAAGTCTTAAGTTGCAGGAAGAAAGTAATGTTTTAGGAACATGGCATAGTATGTGTGCACATGGAGGGTGAAAACAAGAACTAAAAGGCAGTAATACTGGCATAAAGTTGGTGCAAAAAAAATACAAAATTGAGGGCTGGAGGGTCCAAGCCAGACTGAAAGTAAAAGGAGTAGGGAACAAGCAGTGAGGAGGTGCCAGATGGGAAGAAATGCCAGTGCCTGGCAGCTGGTGGTTCCATGGAGCTGGTTAACAAGGAGGAACAGAATGAAAAATGAGCAATGATCGGTCCAGTGGAAGGGAGGAATGTGCTGGATGCGAGACAGCAGGGAAGATAGAGTTATCCTTACCCTAGACATGCAGAGCCTGCTGGGAGAGACCTCCCTTCCCAGTCCTTTCGGGACAGGATGTCACTTGTGCTTTTCTTCTTCCAGGAAAAAGATGTGACTCCCGATAAAAACCTCCTGAGCAAGGTGAGAGATGCTGCCCTGTGGCTGGAGTCCTCAGACACCAGACTCCCCAAGCCTTCCCATTCCTCCACTGCCTCCATTGCTGACTTCTTCCTCGCCCTGACTATCTGCAACTCTGTCATGGTGTCCACAACCACTGAGCCCAGAAAGAGGGTAAGGACCAGTGATGGTTGGGAATGGGGGGGAGGGAGAGAGAAAAGTCTAAAGGCAAATCGGAAAGGAGAAAACCCTGATCATAAAGACATGACCCTTTGGTGCTAACCACAGCATCATCAGTCCATCACTGTGAAACCTGGATCAGGCATGTGATCTTCCTAGGCCTGTTTTCCTCTTTATAAATTAAATGGGAAAAGTCACGCATCCACTGCTTGTGTAACTTTCAACCTATCCACATGTAAGGCAGATAATGAGTAAATATTTATCGAGTATTTGGCTGTGTGCCAAGTCCCATGTTAAACACTTTACCTACATTCACCATCTAACCCTTACAACCCTGAAACATGATGTGGGATATGTTTGGATTTAACAAGTGGAGTCTCAGGTCTTGATAAGTAAGGAGGTATAATTAATGCACAGTAGAACTATCTGTGTGGCTCTGTCATGATTCCCAATATTATACCTGCATCTGCTTTTATATGGGGGTTAAAATTAATTAGCTTATGTGTTATGTTCTTTCCTCAGGAATAATGCAGATATGTGGTTACCTATATGAAGTTAAACAATGAAATCTGCTAAGGGTAGATAGGTCTTCAGTTATCTACAGACCCATCCAAGCTTCCTACAAGTCACTGATAAGAATGATTTGGGGCAACTTGTGGCTATCAAACCAAGAAAACAGAATTCAGTAGACTATAACTTCCTCTCATTATGCCCAAATTTCAAACCACTCAGAAACATCACTTCCTGATCAAGCGTTTTCAGTGACACATAGGAGACAGGAAACATTATCTGAACAAGTAACTATTTTTGAGAAGGGCTATTTTGGAAAAGCTAGCATCCAACTTCAGTTTTCAAGCTAATGAGAAGGCTTACACTAGCACATAGCTCTGAGCTAATGACTGGACCCAGGCTCAGAACTGAGTCCCAGCTCCATTACCAAGAGTCTGGGTTATCGTGGCAAATTTATTCGCCATCTGGGTGCCTTGTTTCCACACTCATACTGATGGCAACCCATCAAATTTCAGGAAAGAATAAATGTGATGATTCACACCCAGAGAAAGCAGCTTACCATACAATAAACTGTGAGAGAGTGGGTACTCTTGAGTGTCTCACAATTATCTGTGAGAGAGTGGGTGCTCTTGAGTGTCACACTTTCATCTCCCTTGTTTCTTTCCACCATGACCAGAGTGGGATGCTCAGAAACTACAGGACTATGAGCACTGGCCATACCTAGAAAGGCAGGCCTAGGAGGAATGGTCTAAGCTAATACCCTCTTTCTATGAGTGGGTCAGCTGAGGTTCACAGAACACATGGGTCTCGTCTATGGTGACCACAGGAGACCCAAATAACCCACTGACGGCAAAAGGATCTTCATATTCTGTATGCATACAAAGCCTGCGTGCTTAGAGTAATTCTGCCCTTTCCTCATTCAACCGCCCACAGGTTACCACTCCCCCCTCCAACAAGGCTCTGGGGACGTCCTTGGAGAAGATTCAGCAGCTGTTCCAGAGGCTGAAGCTGTTGAGCCTCAGCCAGTCATTCTCCTCCACCGCCCCCTCGGACGCAGATCTAGGAGAGAGTCTGGGGCCGGCCATGCCCACCACAGACTCAGAGGACAAAGATGATGTATCTGTATGTAGCGGAGACTGTTCCACGGATGGAGGTTACAGAAGCAGCACATGGGAGCAGGGGGACGTCCTGGGGTCCGAGTCAGGGGCTTCTCTAGAGGAGGGGCTGGAGGCCCCAGCTCTCAGCCTGGATGGACCTGAGCTCTGCTATGAGGCCGAGAGCCCTGATGAGGCAGCTCTCGTGCATGCTGCCCGTGCCTACAGTTTCACACTGGTGTCCAGAACACCTGAGCAGGTGACTGTGCGTCTACCCCAGGGCATCTGCCTCACCTTTGACCTCCTCTTCACCCTGGGATTTGACTCTGTCCGGAAGAGAATGTCAGTGGTGGTGAGGCACCCGCTGACAGGTGAGATCATCGTCTACACCAAGGGTGCTGACTCAGTTATCATGGACCTGCTAGAAGACCCAGCCTGTGGTGAGTTCGCCTTATCAGGCCCAGGGGCACAGATGCTATAGTCCCAGAGGCAGTGTGGCATGGTGATGGGGAAACCAAAGTTACAAGTCACTTGCTGCACCTAGCATGTCCCAACAGGATTCTGGGCTCATGAGATGCTCTCAAAACAAGGTCCTTAGAACACACTGAATTTTCCATCACCTTGACCTAGAGAATTGGGATGTTCATTCATACACTCAAGACTTTATAAGGTCTTCTATATGAAAAACCATTTTACCTTCACTTTATCTAGTTTCCAGATTTCTACACTCATTAAAATATTCATTATGCATATCCACACCCTGTTTCTTTCTACCTAAACATCCATTAGTCATACCCAAGAGCACACCATGATCCTTCAAGTGTCCCTCTTTATTATCATTTTCTCCCATGCCCCACTCCCTCAATGCACCAAGATAGATTTTCATAAACTTGCACAGAGCCAGAAAAATGTTCCAAAGTCCCTACATGTCAGTGTCCAATATCAGAGAAGCATGAATTAGTGTGCAGCCGCATCCTGGTTGCTAACAAGGAGAAGACAGTGATAGGGTTATGATTCTCCCAGGATAGTAGATCCTAGCCAAGCTTCAGAATTGCCCAGGCAGCCCAGAGCCTCCTGCATTATCAGCTGTGGATCACAGCCAAGAGGTTCATGGGGACTGATTAGTGTTTAGAATGAGAAGGGAGCTAATTAGTTCGCTTCATCCCTAGACTCTGGCAGACAAGTGAATTCAGTGCTTCTGAGTCGAGGAAGCCATAGTTCTCTGTCTCTGGGCAACAGAGTCACGTTACCCTGGAGACGTTTGTTTACTCCTCCTGTACTTGATTGCAAAAACGGGTTGGAGATCCTGCCAATAAAAAGCACAGTCAGTGTTACTGTGTTAAAAAAGAGGCAGAGCTTTGAAAGGGAGGGGAGAAATAACATCAAGTTTAGTGAACTTGTAGAAGGGGAACCCAAGGGTTCACAAGTGGTGAGCTTCAAAAAGGATTGTTTCTGAAGATAAAATATTGTATATGGTGCTCAACTAGGTATTGCTTGCATGCATGCATGAAGACCATGCTTAGGTACTTAGAACAATGAGGAAATAATATTTGAAAGGATGTTTATAGTGTATGAAATAGACTGACTGGACTTCCTTATACTTAGTGAGATCACTGTTAGGAATTATATTTTTACCTTTGTACTGTACAAAGGAATGGGTGAGGTATTCAAATTCTATTCACTACTGAGGGTCTCTCTACAACCTCTGTCCAGCACTGGTAAGGGATTTCTGAAGTTTGCATTGCTCAGATTTACAGCCTGCTATGATAGATGAGTGATGCCTGTCACAGCTTAGATAAAGGAAGTGACATTATCATCAGTCCTGCCCCTCCCCAGCCAGCCCAGCCCCAAAATATTCTTACTGTCTAATAGAGAAAAAACAAATGACTTCAGAAAAAAAAATATGCTACACAGAACTTTAACACAGGGATTTTGAACAAGGCAGTGAGGTATTTTTCACACTATAGTTACAGGAAATGCAAAAGCTATTTTTTTTTTTCTAACACCATCCCTCATATTGAGAGAAAGCCTAAGTCAGCAAACTGCATATGCTGAAGAACTCCGCTAATGAGATCCAGGTTTGCAGCTGTCTTGAGACCGAGCTTGACAAGAACTAAAGTAGATGACAGAGAGGATGATGGATTGTCTAAGTTTCAGAGAACAGTTTGCAAAGTTGGTTGGCTCTGCGGGCGCGACTGGCAACTAAAAACATACCTCGGGTAACAAGGAAGACTGAAACTCCTAGCCCCTGCCATCCACCTGAGGATACCTTTGTATTAACTTCCAAGGAGGTTCTCTTGTAGGTAGATGGATTGGAGCAATTTCTTAGATTACCTCCTTGCTTTAAGTAGCACTTTTTCCAGCCAGGCTTTTGAAGAAAACCTATAAGGAGCAGACCACATGGGGACTCTTAAAATTATCATTTTCCAGGGCAGCCTTTTATCACAAGACCTCTTCCACGTTCCTAGGGAGGGCTGGGAAAGGGGACTCCTCCTTTAAAGCTGCTGTGGTTACCTAGGAAGATTCTGGAGAGCTGAGGGCAAAGCTCCCTGAGTATTTGCCCATGGCTTCATGAGAAATAACAATTATTTGACAGTGAGTGATATTGATGTGGAAAAAAAGCTGAAAAGAATCCATGCCCGGACCCAAAAACATCTGGACTTATATGCAAGAGATGGCCTTCGAACCCTGTGCATTGCTAAGAAGGTAAGAATAAACCCCTGCAGGCATGCTCCGTGTGTGTCTGTGTCTATGTGTGTGTGTGTGTGTGTGTGTGTGTGTGTGTGTGTGTGTGTGTGAGAGAGA